GATACTTGAGGTGTCTTGTTTGTGTAATAGCTTGACCTGTTTATTGGAAGTTATGAATTATCAGTTGTACTTACATGCACCTTATGGGATTGTTTCTATAGTTGTTGCCTTGAATTACTGACTGGCATTATAAAAGGCTTTGCTTTATGAGGATGCTTTCATTCATTAGACTCTAACTTGAAGATGATGTATTCTTATTATTCTATTCTACTGGTTCTTTGTATGACCTCTTATTCATTATCTGCCAGTAGTACACTTGATGGTACTTGTGTTAATCCTACTACTTTGTCTTTTATTGAGAATTCACTGACTAATATCAGTGATCAGCTTAAAGATGGAGTTACTGACAATCTTCATAGTGTCACTAGTATCTTTCAACTCTCACTGCTAAAGGAAATGGTAGGATCCTGTAAAGAAAAGTCATGTAATAGCAATGAAGAAGGAATAGCACTTTTGAAACATATGGAGCTAATATTGAACACCTCTACTACAAATCTTGACACTAAGATTGTGAAAATAGATGCTTCTACTGCTGCAACTGATGCCAGACTGAATGCTATTGAGCCTCAATTAGCTTCACTGCAATCACAAGTGTCTTCTCTCTCATCTGATCTTAACAAGTTGTCTCGATTGCTAGCAAAACATGTTAATGTGACTTTAGATGATGAAGAAGAGGCTCCTTCATCTCCTCTCCTCTCCTCATGTGATGCTATCCTCAGTAAGTGGCCTAACAGTCCTTCAGGTTATTATAATCTAGCTGATGTTAATGGACATAGTCGTCATGTATACTGTCACATGGAGACTCTGTGTGGTAAAGGAGGAGGGTGGAGAAGAATAGCTAGTCTGAATATGACTAATCCTAATGAGAAATGTCCTACTCAGTTTAGAACTTATTCATCAGGTGGAGTTCGTGCTTGTGGTAGACCAGATACTAATAGTGGTAGCTGTTTTGGTATAACATTTCCATCAAAAGATATAAAGTATTCACAAGTATGTGGTAAAGTGATTGGATATCAGATTGGAACAACAGATGGAGCAGCAGCCTTTTATGCTAGCAAGGATATAAACTCAGCATACATTGATGGTATTAGTCTAACACATGGTAACCCAAGGAAACATATCTGGTCATTGATTAGTGGAAATTCTATTGAGTATAGTTTTTGTCCTTGTGGTAGTTCAAACCCTAAATCTGTTCCATCATTTGTTGGTTCTAACTATTATTGTGAAGTTGGTTGTCATCATTTGTGTTCTTCTGATCCATTATGGGATGGTAAAGGTTGTGGTAGTACTGAAACCAATTGTTGTCAACGTACTCTTATTCCTTGGTTCTATAGATCTTTTACTCACTCTACTACTGATAATATTGAGATGAGGTTATGCTGTGATGAAGACACAAATAATGAAGATGCCCCTTTTGAACAATATGAAATTTATGTCAAGTGAAGATTGATCTGTACTTTATGCATGTACATATAGTTGTCAATACTTTTTGTTTGATTTTTGGGACAAATTTTTGAGTTAGGCTAAGTGATTTTTCAGTTCTTTTTCGTGATAAAAATCAATTATTTACTTTTGTGAAAGCAGGAAATGAATAACTTTATACAACACATACTATATCAGTGGTTTATGAAAATCTAATTATGCTGTATAGGGAGGAATTGTTTACAAAAGAAAGGCTGATGTTTTGGCTGTTGCCTAGCTATACATAATCAGAGGTTATTTGATGACTCATATTCTATTCTACTCGTCCTTTGGATTAATTACCTCTTGTTCATGGTGTTTAGTGAAGATTAATTTTTGGACAGCATAAATACTTGGAAATAATGCAATAGATTTCTAAATAGAGATCTATATATCATTCACTGTGACATTTTATAAAATGATTATTAAGTGTCTATGTGAATGTATAATGCTTTATTTTCGATGAGCAAAACTTTTGCAGTTTTTGCTGATTATAGCATGCAGCCACTCACAGAATTAAAGCTCTGCAAAGCCCATTAAGGGTGTAGTGCTAAAATTTCAAATCCATGAAAAGTTATTTCTGGAAAGTAATCAGATATCAGGCAGTGATAATTGAGTTGATGCTATGATCATGAGACAAGTGGTAAAGATGTTCCTTTTGAACAATATGAAATTTATGTTAAGTGATTCAATTTAAAGTGATGAAATAAATAATTGAAACATTATTAGTTTAATTTTAATTTTATATGATTTAGAATTATGTACATGTAGTTGTGAGTTATTTGTAATAGGCAGTGGGTATAGAGTTTGCTTGACTTGGTAAAGAGGTATTGTTCATGTACACAGGTCAAGCTAACTATACAAACAAGACACCTCAAGTTATCATATAATAGCCCTCTCTCATTGAGCAGGTCACTCAGAACAATGCAGTGTAAAGTTCTTCCTTTCACATAGGCTATGTGAAAGCAGGAAATGAGTAGCTTTGCTAAACTGCATTCAGTGCATTCAGTGTTCTTTATCAATATCAGTGACTTGCTCAATGAGAGAGGACTATTATATGATAACTTGAGGTGACCTGTTTATTGGAAGATATGAATCATCAGTTGTGCTTACATGTACCTTATGGGATTGTTTCTGTAGTTGTTTCCTTGAATTACAGACTGGCATTATAAAAGGCCTTCCCAGAGGTTCCCTTCATTCAATAGATTTGAAGATGTATTCTTATTATTCTATCCTTGTGGTTCTTTGTATTACTTGTACCTCTTATTCATTATCTGATAATGATGGTACTTGCGATTCTACTTTGTCTTTCATTGAGAATTCACTGACTAATATCAGTGATGAGCTTAAAGGATCATCTAATAGAGTGAGTGAGCGTCTCTCTAGTGTCACTAGTCTCTTTCAACTCTCCTTCCTTAAAGAATTGATTGGATCTTATAAAGAGAAGTCATTCAATAGCAGTAATGAAGAAGGATTGGCTATTCTGAAAAGAATGGAACTAATATTGAACACATCCACTGCTGACATCACATCTAAACTAGAGGACACCAATGCTAGACTGAGTGCCATTGAACAACAGCAACAATCACAAGTGTCTTCTCTCGCATCTGATCTTAAGAAGATATATCAACTGCTGGAGGAACATGCTAATGTGACTGAAAATTGTGAAGAGGCTCTTCTCCTCTCCTCATGTGATGCTATAGTCGTCATGCATACTGTCACATGGAGACTCTGTGTGGTAAAGGAGGAGGCTGGAGAAGAATAGCTAGTCTGAATATGACTGATCCTAATGAGAAATGTCCTACTCAGTTTAGAATTTATTCACAAGATGGAGTTCGTGCTTGTGGTAGACCAGTGACTAATAGTGGTAGCTGTGTTGGTATAACATTTCCATCAAGAGATATAAAGTATTCACAAGTATGTGGTAAAGTGATTGGATATCAAGATGGAACAACAGATGGAGCACACGCTAACAGAGATATAAACTCAGCATACATTGATGGTATTAGTCTAACACATGGTAACCCAAGGAAGCATATCTGGTCGTTAGTTAGTGGCTATTCAGGTATTAGTTACAATAACTGTCCTTGTGGTAGTAAAAATCCTAAACCTGTTCCATCATTTGTTGGTTCTCACTATTATTGTGAAGCTGGTAATCACAATACACATGCATCTACTAATACATTATATTCTTCTGATCCATTATGGGATGCTAAAGGTTGTGGTAGTAGTGAAACCACTTGTTGTCAGCGTACTCTTATTCCTTGGTTCTATAGATCCTTTGGTTATTCTACTACTGATAATATTGAGATGAGAGTCTGTTGTGATCAAGAGACAAGTGATGAAAATGTTTCTTTTGGAAATTTTGAAATTTATGTTAAGTAATTATCTGTTGTAGATCTAGCTACAATAAACTTTGAATTTAGTAGTTTATTTACTTTGTTTTTGCTACAGTATTTTTCCTTTTGTTTTGTGATCCACTTCGATTTAAAAAATTATTAAAAAATAAACCTTTCAATAAATAATAGATGGCCAGAGTATGCAACAAATTGCATGCAGCATTTCTTGAGTGCAACCGTGCAATCATGTTACATGATAAAGTGTATGCAAAGTTTTCTATGGTATACTGTACTTGTATACATATGTATATAAATTACATTGCATCATTAATTTTTGCAGGAGAAAGAAGAACAGAGAGAAGGAGAGACAAATAAGACAAGTCAAGAATGAGCACATCAAAGGTACTCACCCTCTTGTTGTGTTTAAAAAATTTTTCTATTCTTCTCCATTTCTTTCCTCCACTATTCAACCTCTTGATAGCTCTACGTAGACTAACAGAGCAGAGGAAACATGTAGAGAAGAAACACGAGAAGAGAGACATCATCACTGACTATACCAACTTTGATTCACAAGTGTATGCTCCAATGACTCGCATTGGAGTCTATCTTGATGCTGGATCAGAACAATATGTTGTGAAGAGCCAATACAACACATCACTCAATGGTAATACAGTTTATAGTCACTATGGAATAATGATGGAATTTGTTTTAAAATAACGTATGAGTGTTTTTAGGGTTGCAAATTTCTCACATTTCTTCCTGATTTATGAAAATAAAATCCATGAAAATCAATTTAATACAGTTGTGCAAATTTAGAATTTTAGTAGATTTTGCAAAATATAATTCCCTCAAAAAACCACTTATATGGTATTATTATGCATGCATATTACAACAATTTTGAATTTATTTCTTCTATTTATATTTTCATCTTTTTAAAGGTCTACTTGATCTTGAAGCTGCTCTTCCATCAAAAGTAACCAGTCTAAGGTAATGTTAACTGATACATGCAGTAGGTACTCATGGTGTTCATGTATTGCTTTTATTTGTAGGATCAAGCCTCCTGATCCTTCACTGAAGCCAGTGGGATTCAAAGCAAGACAAGATGCTAAACTTGGTCTCATATTAGATAAAGTCTATAGTGACCTTCAATCACAAAAAGAGCAAAGTAACTCAGCATTGATTGATACCTCAATACTTACATTGTAAACTAAATGTGTACCAGCTTGTAAAATTGGCTTGTCCATTGTTTTTTCTAAAAAATTAGCTTCGAAATCACTCCCAATTTTTATTACATTTTCTGATACATATTGATCTCCATATGCTATGTAGAAAGTTTGAGCCAATTCTGACTTCATTTTTTCAAGTTATGCCCATTTTAAAAAATCACCAAAATTCTGAAAAATACCCAAGGCTATAGCCCATGGTTTTTTCAAAAAAATGGCTCCAAAATCACCCCCAATTTTTATTACATTTTCTGATACATATTGATCTCCATATGCTATGTAGAAAGTTTGAGCCGATTCCGACTTCATTTTTTCAAGTTATGGCCATTTTAAAAAATCACCAAAATTCTGAAAAATACCCAAGGCTATAGCCCATGGTTTTTTCAAAAAAATGGCTCCAAAATCACCCCCAATTTTTATTACATTTTCTGATACATATTGATCTCCATATGCTATGTAGAAAGTTTGAGCCGATTCCGACTTCATTTTTTCAAGTTATGGCCATTTAAAAAAATCACCAAAATTCTGAAAAATACCCAAGGCTATAGCCCATGGTTTTTTCAAAAAAATGGCTCCAAAATGACCCCCAATTTTTATTACATTTTCTGATACATATTGATCTCCATATGCTATGTAGAAAGTTTAAACTGATTCCGACTTCAATTTTTCAAGTTATGGCCATTATACATGTACTTTATTTTTCTTTAGCTGATGATAAGAAGCCATTGAGATTACTTGTTAAAGTTGACAAGCCAATACCACGTCCACCCACACCTACTGTAGAAGCCACTCCTGAAGTAAGAGAATCATTGAGTATACATAAATGTACATGTACATGTACATTTATGTACATGTACATGTACATTTACATTGTACATGTACATGTATATGATGTTTATTGATGCTCTTAGGATGATGAGAAACAAGAGCTCGCTATTATATTATTACAAAGAGTCATGAGAGGACGTGCTATTCAGAACAAGGTACAGACTAATAAAGAAACAATAAGTCCTTTTCTCCTTAAATACTATTGTCTTCTATTCTCCTTCTCTCTAGATGTTTGATGGTAAAGAGATGAGGTCTGACCTTATTAAGGAGTTGCGTACAACCCATGCTTTACAGCAACCAGAACAGAAAGAGAAGAGAAAGGAAACAGAAAACATTCTAAGCAAACAAAGGAACCAAGCAGAGACACAACACAAAGTAAACACCATCCAGGCACAATGACACAGTAATGTATTATTATAATAATTACTATTATTTATTTATTATTCTTATTATTATTATTATTATTATTATTATTATTATTATTGGTATTAAGGAGAGTATTGTTTCTGATGGTGCTGAACAAGGAGCTGCTGAATTGATTGGAAAGCAACTTGACTTCCTCAACAAAGAGTTACTGAGACTACAAGTAAAGTCTCAAAATAGACAACCTCCCTATTTCTATCTCTACTATTAGGAGGAGCGTCGTATACACGCTTACGTGATGCTAGCAGAGAGACAGAGAAGAATGAGAGAAGCAGAGGAGAGCGGGCTGAGACAGAGAGAAGAGAGACTGAGAAGAACACAAGATGAAATATTCAAACAAGTCAGTACAGGAGCACCACATGTTGTTAATATTATACTGATAAATACTTGTATGATTATTAACAGATTATAAGAGTACATCAAGGATCAGTGGACACTTACCTTGAGGACATCATATTACAGTCCATTGAGAGAACTGCTGACATACAGGTACACACTACTGTACATCTTAAATTATACATACATTATTATTCAGAAATGTTTAATACAATAAACTTTATCATGTACAGTATATCCAGTATGTACAATGTAGCTTGATTGTCTTACAGTTATAATAGAGTAAAATAATGCATGTTGATAACACAAATAATGTGTACATGTACACATCAGAAGTATGTGGATAATGATACTATACATGTAGTGCTGGTACCATAGAGTGGTGGTTGATTGTTATGACTGTATTTCACTTGATATGGTGACATGTTTTGACTGGTAGAGGCTTCACTCCAACTGTCATACACTATAACCTCATACTGTACATTAGGGAACTAATCACTGACATGTGGTCATTTGTTTACTAGGTGTACTGTACATGTAAACTGACACCTAATTGCTATTATTTGTTTATATACATGTACATGTACAACATTATAATGTATAACCATGTACATGTACATGTACAACGTATTAATGTGTGTATGTGTGTGTGTAGGCAAGGGAAGAGATACAGAAGAGAGCTGATGACATTAATAAAGTTGCTGCTGAATTCGAAAAGACGTAAGAGAGAAAAAGAGAGAAGAGAAAGAGAAGATCAATATTATTGTTGTTGTTGTTTTATGGGTCTTGTTGTTCTTAGTCGCGATCATTTACAAAGTCAAGAGATGGTGGCTGAGATGGTCTATTATTTCTTACTGCCTGAAGTTGAGAAGGAAACCATCAGAGAAAAAGGTACATGTACACGTAATTAATACTAATTATGCACTGTATGTACACATACAAGTACATGTACATTCCTCTATTGTAATAACCATTATTCTTCCTCTCTCTCTCTCTCTATTGATATTCTTTAGTGAAACACACACAAAGGAAGCACATGCTAGCAGCTCACAGAATCATTAATAGTGAAGTTGATAATAACATGGAAGCAATATCCGGTCAAGCCACACCCACTAACGAAACTATACCACCAGACGAACAAACTGGACAATAACCACACCCACTACTGATAACCACACCCACTAGTAATAACTGCACCCACAGGTAGCGAGAAAGAGCATTAGGCTCGTCTTTAAAGATTTAAAATAATGTTGTATAATAATTAATAAAATATGTCAAAATATTGAGAGAGTGAGAACAGAAAGAACATAAATATAACCCAAGAATATAACGTAAAGGAACTAACACGCAAACTTATATGCAGCATATAACCCCAGTAGTGTATTGTGATGATTATAACAATTGAAATGAAAGTAAAGAGTTAGAAGAGATAAAACAACTACACGCAAGAACAACATAGCAATACTACATTATCAATATTATTTTATTGCTATCATAATTATTACTATTATTATTACTATTATTATTATTATTATTGTAAGCAACGCCAATCGAACCTAATATTAGGAGCATGGGTGAGAGGTGGGACTGGTGGGTCTATAAAGTCCCACGTACTGTTCCTACCGGACCCACTCTCCTGGCAGACTGCCACCCCACAGTAAGGTATCTTCTGTACGAGTTTAGTTAGTTCCTGTGCGTTGCGTGGCTGTCCTCCACAGAGCTGTCTTGAGCAAGCCTCAAGAGTTGCAGCGTGTCCAACGATCATGACATTGCCACTCGACGGCCCGATATTCTTGAGAAGGAGTCGAGTGATGTTGTACATCCTCTTATAAAATTCTAAGTGGGTTTCGTTCGGTTTGAGGTCCTTCATGGAGACCATTGAGGTGTAGGTCGGATCAATTTGGAGGCCAAACTTGAGTATCTCTTCGCTGTGCATGAAAGAGGGTATCTCCCCGTGACACCAGGCCAGCCACTCAAACAGGCCGTTCTCTATCTTTATCTTAGTATGGAAGTCCCCCATTCCTTGTAGAAAAGCATTGGCGGTTTGTATACAGCGGAGAGCAGGTGAGGCAAACACGTGATGTATCTTGATACCTTGCTCTCTCATGCCCTCTCCAGTCAGTCTAGCCTGAAATAGACCAGTCTCTGTTATTGGTGAGTCCTTCGTGAAGTCCTGTGGTCCTCCTCGTCTCTTTGGTAGCTCCTTGGGCATGTTTAAGTTCCGCCTGTTGTAGTATCCTTCTGCGTCAAAGGAGAGCTGTATCCATTGTTTACCGAACGTGACGTCTACTCTCTCTGCGTGTCGGAATATGAAGACTCTACGGGGTCCCTGGGGTACGGCAGGGGGGCTCTCTGGCTCTTCGTGCAAGTGACCGTTTGTCGATGAGTTTGGAGACTGTGACTCTTCGTTTCTCTTCTTTCTCGGCTTCACTTTTGCGTATAACTCCTCAACATTCTTCCTCTCTGGCAAGAGACCTGAAGGAGATAAGAGAATTTAAAATGAACCAAAAACAGCCACAAGAAATTGTTACACATACTACATTATGTACTACTGAAACAGTTATTTCATGTCTTACCAACACTGCTGCTGTATGACTGCTGGTCTTCTCTTCGTATCGTTGAGTTCCTAGCTTTAAAGATACTCTTAGTCAGTACGTTTGGTGGAGTCTTGACTTCTTCCTCTTCCTCTGGATTAGACATGATCCATGATCTAGAATAGACGGAGAAATCAAAATAAAATGAGATCTCAATTCAATATCAGATCCAATCAGGATGATATTAGTTGATGCAGCTACTGTATGATGATTACCTGTGTAGTGTCCAGCAGTCTGAGTCTTTCACTTTCTCCACATAATTTCCAGGATACATGCCACTGCAGCCTGTGGTGAATGAGGTACCTATATACCAGCCCTCACTGTCTAATGGAGAAGAGAAAGAGACACAAAGATAAGAAGCTGTAACCTCAACAGGCTATATTGTATGTTTGATAGTGTGCCAGAGGTGCTGCTAGCTGACACTAATTCTAATTTGCACCTTTGTTCATGCTGTTTTTAACACCTTTTGCTAAACCCAATAACACTTACGTATTCATGCATAACCTCATTGTCATTATTGAGTCACTCAGTGCAATAGTTACATGTAATTATAACTATTATAATCAACTAACCAGTTCTTCCTTGATCTGAAGTAGCTACAAACACGTAATCATCTTCAACCAGTTCAAGCTCGTCCTCTTTGCGTGGAGTATATGGATATAGCACCTTGTACACCTATAAACAACAACAACAACAAATAAGACTATTATTAAATAAAACAATTGATTAACAATATAAGGGTATGTACTGTCAGATACAGTCATTATGATAAGTTGATATCTAAATATTTATTGCAAACAATGCCCACTAAAAGAAACAAGGAAGGGATTGCTATCAAAACACTGAGCAAGCAACCAACACCTGCTCACTGATGATCAAATTAAAAATAGATATTTATTTTCCATCTTAAATTTCTAATAATACTAACAATAGAGAAGTACACTAATAGGATTAATGATAGTGCACTAATTACTATAAAATTATCAGTAAATTACTAGGCCCAGGGTGTATGTGATTGTTGGCTCTGACTCACTTCTGACGTAGCTAGACGTATGTCCCTGGAATAAAGTCTAATCTCCCACTTTGCCGGCTGTGTTGGGTCAACTAGTGACATCGCTAAGTCTTCCAGTGTCTTGTGATGCTCTGGTAGGTACTGGTGTGCCATTGTTATATGTAGCTGTCTACGATGAGGCTCTACTGTAACTCCTGAGAGAGAAAAAGAGGGAGAGAGATAAAATAAGAGCAGTATAAATTTAATGAAGAAAGAAAAGGATCAATTCAAAAACCATTTTCATTTTTGGCTCACCGTGTTGCTTTACTTCGGCTGCAAAGGATTTCGTGAATTCCCTGAACCAAGTGGCAATGTCGTCCTCAAGGAAAAGACCAATGTAGCCCTGAGTGGTAAACCGCTTTAGCTTCACCTCTGCTGGGGCATCCTTAATCATTGACGTGAAACTGGTTTTGAGGGCGTGGACTACATAAGGGGCAAGGGAATCCTCTACCTGTAGCGAGAGAAGATTAAATGAAATCGAAAAGTAACAAATGATTATCATAAATACAAAAAATAACCTACTACTCACTGGTCTCGCCCACACAATCATAAACTCACTTTAAAGAACTGACAAAGTGTGACGTGTGGAAATGATTTGTGTGCTCCGTTCCTCCCGGTTTGGTTCATGGCTGACTCCATGAAGTCCTCAATGGCAGTCCCCAGCGCACCCACTGGGCAAGCATAGACTATGTACTCCCTGGGAGTGATCTTGTCTAAATCTGGATCAAACACATGACTCAATAACCTAATGGTTTAATTATAAATAAAGAGAGATAAAATCATAATCATTATGTGATCACTATAATCACAGTAAATGTTATATGTACATAGAATAATCAGCACATGTAATACAATAGCATATTATTGTAGCTCTACTAAGAGTACTATTACTATTGTTATAAGACTGAATGTACACAATGTGATTAATCATAGATGAGATTAATGGGTACAATTTGATATCATGTCACCATCAGACTCAATAAGGATGTGGACCCTTTGCTGCCTCAAGGGCAGGCAGACAAGAAACATAATGAACTCATTTCACAAACTAGTTTATGGTGTTAACTGACTCCCCCTCCCACTCTTCTTCTACTAGTAACAAGTAATGGCAACAGGAGTTACAAGATAAACAAGAACAAATTTACTGCCAAATAAGTATACCCATTCTACCACTCATTAACAAGTACATGTGCATAATCATACACTGGAAGGCTGCTTAGTGGCTTCTCTTTTCACATATATGAACATGTGATGTGTGGAGTGAGTGTTTGTTCCATAAATGGTTGGTATAGCAATTATCATGTATAAAGGTATGTAGCATTTTACTATAAAAACTGTACTATTTTAGGCTGCCATCAGCAATGATGGGAGTGCATGGATTATTTATATGTGGTGGAGTATGATAGCTATAATCTGTTCCTTACCAGTCAGCTGCTACTTGTATGCCACAGTCGCCAGTAGCCGTCAAAGCCTTCTCTCTAATGATGGAAAAAAATAATCATAAATACATACACACTTTCTGTACATGTACATACATGTACGTGCATGACATAAAATGCATAAATACATTTGCACATAAAAAATGACAAACAGATGACACACAAACTATGGACAGACTCCATGCCATGCTGTCGCGTTCGTGCACATGGACTTCTCATCACTAATAATCTAATCACTTAATACACTAATTGCTCTATAAATGTTGTTTGCTACCCGACTAATTTCAACTATACAAAGAAGTAGGTCCAATATGTATTAACATTATTTGACTAATGAGGCACACTAAAGACATGGAAATGATTACACAACAATGCACTAAATTACACCAACACTAAACTCAGTTATAGGACCCAACTTTGGGAAGATTAAGGACTGTATGGACGAGTAGAAGCTACAGATTATAATGAAACATAGGCTGTGTACTGGAACCAATAAGGGGGCATAGCAAATACAGGGACCTTATATAGGGGGATTATTATATGTATAAGGACCTGATCTATTTTGAGGGAAAGAAATAGAAGTAACGATAAACGATTAGGAGACTTGATTGTTTGTTTATTTTAACCATTGAGAATGTGTTTGTCAATATCCTAATGATAGCATAATGCCTTTTGAATTAATGGTGTACTGCTACACTATTTTTACTTGCATTTTCATATGCATACTGTGAAAAAATAATGAAAATAGTATCCTACTTTACACATACGCATACATACACATTTTCATTTACTCATAGACAAACTGTAAAGCTATAGTGATCCACAGGTAGAGAGGGAAAGCAAACTTGAGCCATTGTTTAGCATAACTGTTCGTATCATTGTAAAAACATTATCTCAGACCCAAAGTCATTAACCATGATATCACTTGACTCAAGACTGGTACAAAAGACTTCTTAAATAACATAAACTAATTGAGACATATCTCCAATAAACACACAAGTACACAAACATAAAGCATCACTATTATACACACAGTAAATAATTCATTGTTATTATTATACTCAAGTCAGTTTCACAATTATACATTATTATAATAATGGCCGGTTGCTTCCTAATATTTTGTGTAAGTGGATTCATTCCACTGATTCCAGTGACAGTAAGATGACAGCATATCATATTATTGTTATTATAAAATCTGCCCATTCCCAGCCCAATCTATAATATAAATAATAACCAAGTATGGAACTGCCAGTAATTAAATGCATGAAAGCTATTTGCTACAGTATCCTACCACACCACCTCTCAATTTCTCTACAATGTATTCATAAATATATCATTTCTAATGTCCATATGTATGCTACCCGCCTTCAATTAGACACTTAATACAATCAAAAACTAAAAATTAAATTTATTATTATTATTATTATTGTACGTTAGTTTACTAAACAAGATTAGTGGCTAGACGATATATTATTTAGAATGTTTACTATATCCAACAGTCTGTACTATCATTATTATTATTATCATGTAAGAAAGGATGTATTATCATAGTGAAAACTCCAGTATAGCAGCATATTTACCGTGATTAAATATGGAAGAGTAGACCAAGGCGTGTGTGCATGTGTGTGCAAATAATATGACACTACCTAAGGATGATGTAAAAAAATAATAATAGTAGTGGAGCTCTGCATGTGTAAGTGGGTGGGAATAGTACACAAAAATATAATGAACACACACACACACATAATCATATCAAGTGGTAGTATAGTAAAAAGTACTATAATATTATGATAACTAAAGTATGGTGGTATATAGTATTATTGGGAACATACGCTCTATGTTTGGAGAACCCCATGTCGATGAGTATCCTACGCGAGTCCTTGCTCTGTAGTATTGTTTTTGAGGTCCCTGGTTCCAGTTTCTTCAACTCTGTGCTTCTTTCCAGAGGAGGAGGAGGTGGGACTGTGTGGTTGGTGACCAGTTGAGGTTGTTGTGGTTGTGGATCCCTTTCAGCCATTGTATGCCTCTAAAGCATGCGCAGGAGTCCTTTTATTACAGTGTTATATATAGTTTAGCAGTGAAGAAACTTGTTTAAGACTGGTGTATATTAAGGCTTGGTTCCTCCAGCATAGGCAGAGTGTGGTTACAGAGATTTCCTTTAGCTTTACTATCAATCCTGGTGTAGTAGTACTTCCTGGCGAGGTCTCCTATCCCTTACTCGAGTAGCCTCAACACAACAACACGGAGAACTGAGCAATTGTTCGTCATTTGCACCTTTTAGATAGATGTTTTATAATTAGCCACACCCAAAACAGTACATTAATAAACCACACAGATAACTCTCTTTTAATAACTTACTTTAGCGCCAAATTATTTGAAATTATATAACATTAACAAGCTCTTCCTACTGTCATGGCGTCTCTCCGTGCCCTTGTTGGTTGTAAGAGAGTCATTGATTATGCCGTAAAGGTAAGAGATGGAGAGTGGAGAGGCTTCCTATTTGTTCTTTATAGATTAGAGTCAAGCCAGACAATATGGGTGTTGTCACTGAAGGCATCAAACATTCAATGAATCCATTTGATGAAATAGCACTGGAAGAAGTACATATAAATATTTATAATTATAAGTTCTAAGTACATTTAATTTTAGGCCGTTCGTATGAAAGAGAAAAAAATAGTATCTGAGATAGTAGCAGTCAGTTGTGGTCCTCCGGAATGTCAGGTCAGTGATTGTGTGAATGTCGTGTGACTTTGTTTATCTGATAGGAGACATTACGTACAGCTCTGGCTATGGGGGCGGATAGAGCTATTCACGTCGAGATAAAAGGAGAGGAATATCAAGGGCTTCAGCCACTAGCTGTTTCAAAGATGTTAGCAAAACTTATTCAAAATGAAAAGGTAGACATTGCCTTTTTCGGAAAGCAAGTAAGGAAGGAATTTCTGATTTAGAAGATACAGTTTGATTAAGTTTTGATTTATAACAGGCGATTGATGACGATTCTAATCAAACTGGACAAATGGTTGCTAGTCTTCTAGACTGGCCACAAGTAAGGGAAATAATATTGAAACTACATTGTACATGTACCAATGTGGAGTCAATCGTGTGATAATATTCAAATGAGAGCTAATGGTTATAGTAGAAGATAATAATTAGTGAAGTATTTCTCTCCAGGCTACATTTGCTTCGAAGATTGAGACTGAGGGAAGCGACACTCTCAAAGTGATGAGAGAAATTGACGGAGGCTTAGAACACATTAAAGTCAAACTACCAGCTGTCGTAACGGCAGACCTTCGTCTAAATGAACCAAGATATGCCACACTACCCAACATAATGGTAGGACTATTGCTTTATACAGTATACTGCACACGAAATAGGCTCTGGACGAATGTCATTAGCATATAGTACATCATGAGTTGCTTAATTATTATTGGCATATCAAGTTTCATCAGTCAGACACATGGTCATTATTAGATTAATGATTTACCATCACTACTACTATAGCACTAGGGAAAATTTTGAGTAACTTTAAAAATTCGTAAAAAATCTAATTTTGATTGGAATCAGTTCAAACTTTTTACACAACATAAGAGCATGTATATGTATCAGGAAAAATTATAAAAATGGAAAAATCTCTCGTAGTCATTTTTTGTGAAATTTGACCAAAGACCCTGTACAGGGGCTTTGGCCCGATTTTTTAGTAACTTTAAAAATTCATAAAAAATCTAATTTTGATCCGAATCAGCTCAAACTTTTTACACAACATAAGAGCATGTATGAGTAACAGGAAAAAGTATAAAAATGGAAAAATCTCTCCTAGTCATTTTTGGTGAAATACCCTGTACTATGTTTCAGCCAAATTTTGAGTTAGGATAAATGCAACTTAATTTAGCTGTTTAGTGTTAAATTTTATTACAATTGGCCTATGTCATGCCTGATATGAATGTTTGTTAATCATACTCTCTGTCCCTTTACTTTCAGAAAGCAAAGAAGAAACCATTTTCAAAGATGTCATCTGAAGAATTGGGCGTGGACATTAAGCCACGCCTACAAGTGAAGAGCGTGGTAGACCCCCCAGTGAGGGAGGCTGGGAGTACAGTAGAGAATGTTGATGAGCTTATCACCAAACTGAAAGATGTGGGTGTTGTTTGAACTTTGAAGATAGAATCACCATTAAATCATGAAGCAAACTTAGTAAAATATAGATCTACATGTATGTCATTATAACACATGTATGAATAATATCCTGTTGTGTATGTGTATGTGTTTATCTATTTATTTACCCTTTGAGATGATTCAAAGGCAAAACACATGAATCAATCAAACAATATCATACAAAACTAGACTAGGATTAACATCATTACATTCAACAATAATGGCAATACTATTATACTAGTATGAGTCTTCATTAGGAGTGAGTAATGGTGTCCTCTCCTCACTGCTGCTCCCTCCGCTAGTTGGAGTGTTAGCATTTCTGCTCCAATTATTAACTTGTCTTAGTCTTTTTTGTTTCATTCGTCCACTTCTCTCCACAAAATCAATAAAGTTGGGCACATGCGTGCTATCAACCAGTGCAGTCTGGTATGAGTCTCTCCCATCAGGCTCTGTTTCATTGTCAGTAAGAGGAGGGTCTGGGTCTTGTACATTCCTAAATAATCTTTTACGTCGCCATTTCTCAAAAGAGTTCTTGTTCTTCCTGCAGAACAGAAAGAGACAGTAGCCAGAGCAATAGAGCAAAGGGAGGAAGACGAGTGTGAACTGTATGTCAAAGGCAATCATACTCGGCCTTTGGTCTGTGAGGACTCGTGTAACATTGTATAGGCTCAGTCCTGAAATGGCTGCTAGTAACAGGAAGACTGCAATGTCAAGCTGGTTTAACCAGTGCTCTCTGTAGGGCTGGAACACCGCAAAGAGTATAGCCACAGCAATGAATATCAATGACTGTGCAGTGTATTGGTCCATGTACACATCAGCCACAGAGTACACTAGAACAAGGACAATGCGCAGACAGAAATAAAGACTAGCAAACCATCGACAGTCTATTTCACCGGGTTTGCTCCCATCCTTATAGCAGCCATGAAACTCGTCCAGAAACGCCTGCAGCTTGTGGGAAGGATAGAGTCCACCCAACTCAAGCTTTTTGCAAGAGAGATGCCTCACTACTCCTAGGAGTGTAGGATAAAGTAATATGAGTGGTGGGATCGCAGCAAAACACAGGGCAATGAGTGATGGTATCATATACTTGACATTATTTAAATCAAATTTGATATCACCGTCAAAATAGAAGACAGTAGTAGCCACACTACCGTCAGGATACCAGAGGTGTGATGGTGTCAGTATATACAAAGCCAAGAGGACAGACTTTGTGTAAGCTATTACTACAAACACTGCCATACCGCCAGTCACAGAATGCCTCATGTTGGTCCATTGTCTAAACCTAGCAAGACAGTAGTGCAATGGCTGACAGAGATGGACTACAACTGGTACTCCCCTTGCATACAGGTTCATCAAACATACAAAGAGAAACAGAAGGAGGATAGGATACAGTACCTGTAGATAACCGAGATTGAGGATTACAAGCACATTCCAATGAGGATGAATGCAGTATGGTGGTATGATGGTACGGAAGAAGTCCATGTTCCATATTGAGTAAAGGCTCATGTATGCTCCCCTTATAGCCTTCATCCTTCCAGCATTGACAAATATCTCTCCATTACCATCCAGTGTCATTGCAGTGGTTATAATTTGAGCATAGAATATGAATGAGTTGAGTGGACCAAAAGTGACTGACATGCTAAACAAAAATATGATACCAAAGAAAATGGTGACCGGTAGAAACTCGCTCAGTAAATAATAGATCCAGTTAATATTCTCACTGCCTTGAGGACACTTGACACAAGGGAATGTGATATCAACCACAGATACTCCATAGTCATCCATGCAGCTACCACAGAGGACTCCCTTACTGTTGCCTGGTGAGCACAAGTATTTAGAGAGGTCTGCTGGATCTTGCGGCAGTACCATGTATCGCTTTTTAGTCTTTGTGAATATGTACGAGCTTTGCCCAAATAGTAAGGTGTCTCCAAAGCCTGGTACAGTCCCAATCCAACCTGATCGAATGATTGATGAAGTATAGTTTGACTGGTTACAGTGTACATGCCCGTTGTAATCATCATCACATATACAAGCTGATTTACCAGAGGCCTGCTTTACGGGGCTGAATCCAGGAGGACAAGGTCTGAATGTCACATTGATAATGCTCTCGATGATGATTGGGTTGTCAGTCTCAAATTGTATTGTTGCATTAGTGTTTGGTTCTCCTACAAGAGAGAGCTGGTTGTGTGACACATAGCTATAGTCATATTGAGTATCACCTTTAAATGAAGCAGTGTTGTTGATTACTCTCAGCACAAATACTGCCGTATTGATTACATTGTATGAGAAATCATTCAGTGCTACTGCTCCAAGTGGTATGGTATCACCAGGTATCATACTAAATGAGTTATTAATCTCATACTTTGCTGGAGCAGTATCTATCTGGTAAGAGCAGTTTGCTTTATTGCCTTTGTCATCAAAATACTTCCAATTTTCTCCCCAACAAAACGTCACGTCAATGTTTCCCTTTGAGCTATTAGTTGATCCATGACCACTGCCCCACACACAGGGGAGGATGGTCGAGGCATAAATTGAATTATTGTAGCTGTTTGCTATGTTACCTATAAATGTGAACTCTGAGGTCCAGGAGTCAGGGGAACAGAATATGTCAGAGAAGCGAAGGAAGCAATTACCAGAGCCAAACTGATCCCTTACTCCAGAGCTGTAGCTGTAGATAGCTCCTCCAAAATATTCTGCAATGTTTCTTTCAAAAACCAAATGAGATTTGGGAGAAGTGATGATATAAGAGCTAGCATATAATACAATGGCCCCACCACTTCGACCCAAGTTACCAACAAATGAGATTGTTGCATCCTCAGCAACAGTCATATGAGACCCACTCAAAACAAGTGCAGAACCATTGTTACAATAGAACTGAACATTCCCATAAAACTCGGCAATCACTGTATCAATATACACTGCACCTATACCAACAGGAGACAGGGCAAGTTTAGAATGATACAGTGCCCTGTTCCCCACAATGTTCACATTGTGTATGCTTACAACAGGAGGAATACCAGTAGTCGATGGATGAAATATTGACATGTCTAATGCTGCTCCAAGCCTTGCAGTGTTTGAAGTAAAGTTGACATTATAGAGTTGAAGATGATTGGGCTTGTAAGATATAGATTGGAGGGTAGTGTAATATGATAGACCACCACCATAGTAAGCATTATTAGAATCAAAGATACACTCAATAAATGTTATACTGTTATCATACACAAAAGATCTATTAGAGGGGAACATGAACATGGCTACTCGAGCCCCTCCCCCTCCAGTCCCTGACGTGAGGGAAGGACTATAATATATTGTATTATGATTAAAAGTGCTTCCTTTCACGACCACATTATTTGTGTTAGCATTGTCATGAAACTCAACTAGTAAGCCAGCCCCCCAGAGTGCAGCATTCTTAGTGAATGAACATTCATTAATTATCATACTCACATTAGTTGTTTTGCCAATAAGATAGACGGACATACCACCTCCACGACCAAATGAGTTATGATATACTCCATATGGTAATATATACGTACCATTTGATGCCTGGGATTGACTGATATTGGCACTATTAAAAGTGAACTTGCTATTCGTGATGTTATACACAGCATTTCTAGTATAACTTTGATTAACATTCGATATATAGTCTACAAGGCAAGAATCGTTGGTTGGGTCACAGTATGAAAACTCTATATAGAGCCCACCTCCACCACAACGACCATCAAATGTATTATTAGCGAATATGCAGTTGTCAATGGTTACAATCCCATTAGTATTGTAGATATTAACTCCTGTCCCTGATGTGTTTTGTACAGTAACAAACGACATTGCTACATGATTACAATAAAGGAAATAGAGTCCAACGACAAACTGTATGTACACTGGTGCCATGTCGTCTAAATCAAAGCTTGTGGTACTATTTTGGAGCTGACCACACCCATCAAATACGATATTAGAGAGAGCGATATCTTTGGAGTAAATGAAACTGAACCCGACCTCACCAATACAGTGTATGGTGGCAATGTCAGTACCATTAACACTATATTCAGACTCATATCCTTGTATACTAATACCAGAGGCTCTTACGAACTGAGATACTCTATTGTTGCTTAAATCATAGTCTCCACCTGCTATCATTAGAGCTTTAGGACTGCTGGTTTGTTGTATTCCTTCGAGTCCCAGCTCAAGGCTAGAGCAAGGGGTATCTTCTCCACCTTTCCAACAGGAAGAGGTGTTTGATCCATCATCTGCCCATTGGTCTACGTATATTACTTGATCTGCAGCGAGAGAACAGCAGCCGAAGTACAGGAAGAGAAAGAGAACCACAGCCATTATGCAAATCAAGCATTCTATAAAATCAGCTCCGCCTTTGCACCTCCACAAAAAATTAGACATTAGATCTATTTAAATTAATACACACAAATTCACAAAATAATTATCAAAGTCATGTCAAATAAACAACAGTACTACTAACATTGCTATCACTATTATCATTGGTACTGTATGCTGTAAGATACTGTTCATCATGATCATGCAACAAGTCAGTATTATTGTCATTTGATTCCCTTTCATCTTCTTCACTTTCATCGGGTGAGCCTGAGAGCAATGGAGAGTTTTCGCCAGTTCCAACCTCCTCAAGGTAATCCTCAATGGTTTGGCGATGACGATTAGAACTAGCAGACCTCCTGATAGAAAGTGAGTTCACACTAGGTAACCTGATGTTCTTCTTGAAACGTGAAGAGTTTTCCATGTACTCCAAAAATTCAGGAACATAAGTAGAATCAACTAGACCGTCTTGATACTGAGCACCACCTTGAGATCTCGTCTCTGTCTCATTCCTATCTGCTGATTTTAACTGTTCCTGTAGGATTTGCTTTCGTTTTTTCTTCAATCGAGCTTGGAGCATCAACCTTTCCTTTATCTTTCCTCCAATGACAGAGCAGTAGTAACATACGCAGTACACTAATGGCAATAGGATGAGGACATACTGCATAACATAAGGCCACCTCTCCATGCGACCATTAGCACCAACCTGAAGTGTCAATAAGTTATACTGACTCAGTGCATTAATGGCAGCCAGTAGCAAGAACATTGATATATCAACTTGGTTTATCCAGAAATGCTTGTACGGCTGAAACAAAGCAACCAGCATTGCAGAGCCCAAGAAGAGCATCGTTTGAATAATGTACTGCACATACCATGTTGCTGCTATGGAGTACACTGTGTACAATGCAATACGTAGACAAAAATAGAAACTGGCAAACCAGCGACAATCAACACCACCATTACTACCATCCTTATAGCAGCCATGAAACTCATCGAGAAAGGCTTGAAACTTTGGATTAGGATAGAGCCTCCCGAGATGGAGTTTCCAGAAAGAGAGTCTCTCGATAATCCTCAGCAAAGTCGGATAAAAGAGGATCAGTGGAGGAAGGAGGACAAAAGTAGAAAGCATGCAACTAGCAATGACTATGTACAATTTATTAGTATGAGTCTTACCCCATTCAATACTTCCATCAGGATAGAGTACATGTGTAGCTATCGACCCATTAGAATAATAGAGAGGAGTAGGACTGAGTAGAAGGAGAGAGACGTAAGCAAATTTAGTATAAGAGATGAGTATGACGATGGCAATGCCTCCCATCACGGACTGGTGTAGGTTAGTGAGCTGTCGGAAACGAGCCAAGCATTTGTGTAGAGGGCGAATAGCATGCACAACACATTTGAAGCCTTTGTTATATAGGAATAGTATGATAACTAGAGTGGCTAGTAGTATCAGAGGATAGACTGCTGTGATGTAGCGCAATGCATGTATATCCACTGTATTGAGATTGGGGCTGAGACAAAAATCTGAAAAGGATGACCTGAAGAAATTGAGATTCCATATATCGTACGGCAAGTAATAAACCAGCTGCATCTTAGCATACGAGACTCCCATTGATTGTGAGACACTCTCAAGTGGGATCATACCATCAGCATCAATGTCAACACAACTGGTGATCAACTGTGCAAAGATTATGTATGAATTGAGTGGCCCGGTGGTCACTGTCATGCTGAATATGAACACAATTGCAAAGAAGAGTGTGACTGGAAGAAATTCTGTCAATATGTAGAACAACCAATGATAGTGTACGTATGTTTCTGAACAGTTTACACACTTGTAGTCATAAGAGTTAAGAGCTACACCATATCCATCAATGCACTCACCACACAATACTCCTTTCCTGTTCATCTTACCACAGAGTGCATCAGAGAGGTCATTTGGGTCTTGTGGTAAAGATATGTAACTGCTATTGCTGGAAGAGGTAACGTAAGGACTCAATCCAAGAAGATACTCCTCATAATCTGGGACTTTACCTAACCAACTTGCTTTCTTAATGTTGATGGTGTCTAGGAGTGGATCACAGTTTATATAACCATTGTAATCGCCTTCAGGACAAACACATGTACCATTTTCTATTGTTGATATAAATCCAGGCGGACAAGGTTTCAAGTTAACTGTTATCTTTTGTCTTATAACAATGGGGTCTTGTGTCTCAAGGTATATATCAACAGAAGAATTATCTCTACCAAGCAGCTTGAGTTGCTTTCTGGAGATATATTCAAATCTGAGATCATGTTCCTTGTACCCGGGAAAGAAGGCGCTGGTTTCATTACTTTCATGACTCATTCTTCCTATTAGCATTGTATCGGTCACATTTCGTTGGAGATCATCTTTTATTAGGAGATTAAGTGGTATTGTTTTACCTGGAATCATGTCATAGCTTGATTGCAAGAGGGTGAAATTTGAGGGAGCACTATCAATTTGGCTCTGACAATCTTCCTCAGTGCCATGCAGAGTATAACACTTCCATTGGCTACTCTCCCAGTAATATTGACTGAGGTTTAACCTCTTCCACAAGCAAGGAAAGATTGCTGTGGCATAGATGGAGTTGTAAACATCCTTTCCAGTGCTTATCTGGTTCCCTTCAAAATAAAATGAAGCATTCCATTCGTTTGGATGTGCTCTTATGTCATAATACCGAATAAAACAATTTCTCGAGTAAGCCAAGTTTCTCTCTCCAGGATTAAAGAAATAAATGGCTCCTCCTTTGTAGAGTGCCAAATTATTAATAAAATGAAGGGAAGAATTCTTACTGGTCATTATAAATGAGTTACCAAGAAGAGCAATGGCTCCACCATGCCTTCCAGAGTTATTAATAAATGTTACATTAGTATCTGTACTTATATTGGCATAAGTTCCAGTCACAACTAAAGCAGAGACTGTGTTATCACTGAACGTCACATTACCAGTGAGGACAATGGGAAGTGAATCAGCATATACTGCACCAATGCTGACAAAGTCATCCATTGAATACATCTTGTTGGCAATGAAGGAACAACTCACTAGCAGTATTGATGGTGGCTTCCCAGTTACTGATGAATGCCACAGTGAGAGATCTAAAGCAGAACCCACACGACCTCTGTTGCCACTGAAAATACAACGTCGAACTTCAAAATGATTTATAAGAGCTTTTGTGTCAAATTGATAAGCAGAATGAAATGATATTCCTCCACCATAGTGCGCTGTGTTATCTGTGAAATTGCATCCATCAAAAGCAACGCGATTATTCTGCACAGAATCAAGTTCATCAACATACGGGCCAAAATAAAAAATGTATCCTATTCTAGCTCCTCCTCCTCCCATATCATTGCTATTATAAAGGACATTGTTATTGGTAAAAGTACTCGAGGTTATTGAAACTCGGTTCCCTACAGCATTGTCTTGAAACTCAATGAACAGGCCACCACCCAATGCAGCACTGTTGTCCTCAAAAATACAGTCTTCAATAGTGATTGATCTATCATAGGCCAAACCTTTAAAAAATATTGAGAGACCTCCTCCTAGCCCAAATGCTGCATGAAACTGTCTTCTTGGTAGAGGGAAAGAGTTTTTATCATAATCACTTACATAGGCAGTGTTGCTTGAGAATGTTGAGTTAGTGATACTAAAAGTTGAACCCTCAGTATAAAGAGTATCAATATTACTGACACCATCACTCAGACATTGAACATACTCTTCACCATACGGTACACAATATGAATATTCAATGGATACTCCTCCACCACTGCCTTCCACTTCTTCTTCCTCAGTAGTAAAAGTGTTATTACTAACGATCACAGTATCTAGTATATTAGTACCAATGATATTATAGAGCACAATACCAGTAGCATGAGAATCAGTAACAGATATACCAGTCAAGTTAACATCACGACAATATAAAAAATATAGTCCAACATAAAACATAGAGAAGCTGGTTTTATTAGCATAGCTGGTACTATACTGGAGTTGTCCACAACCAACAAATTCAATTCCAGTAATTCTGATATCGAAAGTATTGGTAAAGCTGAACCCACTCTCATTAAAACAATTTATAAAAGTTGAGGAACTGGCTTGACCAGTTATCTTTAAGTGATTGATATTTTTAAAGACACCATTAGACGTGTTGGTGTGATTATATTCACCATCTGCTATTATCAGTTGAACAGAAAGTTTAAATTCTTGACCTTTCAGTAAGTTCTGAATTACATCTAGCCCAAGGTCAAGTGTTTCACAAGGTTCATTGACAGCTCCACATGATGATGAGTTACTGGATAATGGTGAAGAATCATCCACATAGACAGTAATGGAGGCAGTAGATGTCGCCAAAAACAAGACTAACAGATATGTGAACATTTGATTACTATTATTTCAATAAAAAAATTATTTAAAGTGAAGATTAACTAACTTTTTAAAGCTCTTCCAAATTCTAAAATGCCAAGTCATCACTCTGAAAAAGGAAGGTGTGACAGTTGGTTAAACTATGCCCACTAGATCTAAATCTACTATCAAAACTATCAATGCAACAGCAATAAAAAATATAAAATATGTATAAAGCATCACTCAAAAGGGTCCACTCATTAGAAATTTATCAGTTCACTGATCATTAGATCTTTCGTCATCTTCCACAATTGCTTCATAGTTATTCCTGTTTTGTGGCGCAATCAGTGGAGCAGTTTCATCAGTGCCCCTCCATGTGGTTGAGTTTGTTAATCTCATTCGACTGTTTGCTCCAATGTACTCCATTATATTTGGAACATGAGTGCTTCCAACCAAAGCATTCTGGTAGCCGTGTGAATCTTCAAGACTTTCTGGTATCTTCATTTTACGTGATTTAGTCGCAACATACCTTTTAAAGGTACCACTACTCCTT